AATGCCCCTGCCACACATGTGCCAGGTGCAGCATGAGGAGCTGTTTGTGCAAACTGAGGGGTGTCTGACCCACTTTGCCCTTGTGCTACTTATGGCCATGAAGCCCTGGGCTCATCTGTGCATCTGGCATGGGCCCCGAGCTTCAGTGGTGCAGTGGGCAAGCCTGCACTGCCCTGGAATGTCTGCCTCCACCTGGAGGGTTACCTGTGTTTTTTCTCCACATCCCTGCCCCATGCAGCCAAGGAGGACATTGCCATTGGCATCAATGCATTTCTCAGTATGCGAGAGGCCCATGTCCACCTAGATGTGGTGCAGAGGCTGCTCAAAAAAGTTTAGCACTGTCTCCCACCTCCCTGCATGCTGTGTGGGGGTAACCCAGGGGAGCACGGGAAATCTGGGGAGTTGGAGCAGGGGCCAGAGCCACAGCCAGGGTTGGAGGCAGGGGCTGGGCTGGAGCTGGCATGCCTGGAAGCTCAGGTTGGCTCCACTGACTCCCAGCAATGTCCTTAATTGCAGGGGTATGGCAGCCCCCCTCCCACCCCCACCCGGGGAGGAACTGTTGCTGCTGGCAGCTGGTGGTGACCTGGCCAGCTAGGCCTTGCAGCTGGGGCTGATATTTATTTATATTTACAAGTACTATCCTGCTGTGGAGTTAATTAGTTTACTCCAGGCAAATAGGGGTGCATGTCTAGATACACAACATTTACAGTGGAGTTAATTAATCTACTCCACAGTAAATGTGTCATGTAGATGTGCTCACCAGCCCAATACTTTAAAAGTGCATCTACATATGCAGCAGATTATGCATTTGTTACTGCTTAGTCATTTAATACTTGCTTAAACACGCACACAGTAAAATCCCTGATATCTGGTAGAAGTAGGGAATAGGGGGTGCCGGTAATTTAAAAATGCCGGTTACCTGAGGACACGGGGTTTCCAATCAGACGCGGAGCAGGGGTGGGGCATGGTGGCAGCCGCACGCAGAGTGAGGGTTGGGGGGCAGTGATGGCCACATGCAGAGCAGTGGTAGCGCAGTGTGGTGGGTAGTGGTGGCCACGTGCAAGCTTTATACCCGCTCCTCTGTGTTTGGCCAGCTGGCCAGCCGGCCAGCCAAAATTCTGGTTAATAGAGTGTTTAGTAATATCCTGGATAACTGGGATTTAACTCTCTGTGTGTGTATTTATATATTTCCATTTATATTTATATTTACTACTTTTATTCATATTGTACAAGCACCTGTACCCCAAAATTAGCCATCCCAAATTGTGAGGGTGTTTAAGCAAAGAAGCTAATTTTCTCACTATAAGGAGTCATAGGACTGCTGGAATGGTGTCATGGCCCTGTCAGGGCCCATGCTCCATCTGGCCACATGGAGGAGGGGTGGAGTCTGCTGCTCACTCCAAAGTTAGAGGTCAAATTTTTCTGGTCAGCTAAAAGCCCCTGCCAATTTGGCAGTAGATGTGAGAGGGTCAATCCTCTAGCTATTAGGTGGACAGTAAAGGGAGGGTGACTGATACTGCTGAGTAGACTCTTCCCCATTTAGCCTTCATTCTGCCTTTCCCAAACAAGGTGTGCTTCTTATTTGAGGCCATGCAGTATGTGAAGGTGAACAGCAAAATTTTCAAGAACCAAAACAAAGCACGTTAAAAAAACAAACAAACAAAAAAACTTAAACAAATTCGATATTAAATTCCATTTTTCAACAAGATCAGGTTTTCCCAGCACAAGTTTGAAATGATTCTTAGAAAAAGCCAAAACCTTAGCTCCATTAAAATGCTGATTCAGCTACTGATTGACTTGGAAGGTCTTTAGGAGAGTAGTCACCTTTTTCTTTTGTGTGTACAAGGTGCCTGCCAGATCTTGGTTCTTATCCTCATAAGAACTTTCAGGTCTATAAAAGACATGGATAATGAGAATAATAATAAGCTGATGGCACACTGGGGAAAATATTCTGAAAAATTTGCAATGCTCTACATCTCCTAAACACCTTCCTTGTGGAGAAAAATTATCTTGTCATGACCAATCTTGACTCCAGAATGTTTAGGCATGAATTTGAAAGCTAACACAAAGACATGCAAGAACAAAATAAATTGGTTGGAACATAACACACCACAAAATGCTGAGACTAGATTGCATTAGTGAAGATTTAAAAGGAAAGAAAGAAAACGGTGCATCTCATGAAGAGACCTGAAAAACTGTCAGTGCTAGCGGTAAGCCAATATTTCCATTTCAGAGCTCAAGGGACTGTTAAATAACAAGCAATTATTTCAGGCATAAAGTAAATGTAAATGATGACATTCAAAAACCTATGAAAAGATACTGTTAAAACTGATTTTGTATTTTTTAGTGTACCATGGCTCTATAGTTCCAGTTTTCAAATCACCAAGAAGCTTTACCCCCTGGAGGAAGATTACATAATAAGTGAGTATTCATCAACAAAGCAAGAAAGGTGCTATGTCTTGACAGTATAAATGACAGTATATTGTATTGTAGAATACACACAGACTAGTAAATGAAACATTAATTCCTTCTAATGAGTTAAATGAAGCCTTGTGGAAAAAAAATGAGGGTTTTTTGTTTTAATAATACCAGAGATAAATGCTTAAATTATACATTTTTTAAACTTCACTGTTTGTTCTGGAAACTCCAGATTAGCAAAACTTTTCTTGCATATAAATCCCACAGTCAGACTGGTGCAGACTTTTGGAGGAGTGTAGGTAATCAGGGTAATCTTCCTTAGATCTCTTGAGCATATTTTAACAGCCTTTATAGGAGCAGGATATTGGCCACCATTTGTCCCCTTGCCCAAGGTATGGCAGGTTAGGGTGTTGTGACTGTGTCAGAGTTGACTGTGCTTTTTGGTGCTTTTATCTAAAGCTGATTCAATCATCTATTAGATAAAAGCACCAAAAATCTTTACAGGCATTGTGGAAGCCAGCTCAAAGTAACATGATGCTTCTTCTGAGAATGCTCTGTGCTTGGTGTGGGGGTGCAACAGGTTGAAAGTAAAGTTCTGTTTTTTGTTATGTCACATCTGTAAGCAGCCTATGTGATCGGTTAATAATTAATTTACTAACTAGCAAAGGGACTACATTCTGAACAAACATTATTTGTAATGAATAGTCCAAATGGATCTAATAATTAACAACGTCATTAAACCTGGGAATCTTCCTGTCACCCCACACATGCAGTAGAGGCCTAGACATACAGGTGTGCAAGAAGAATGTATAGTAGTGACTTAGCACCTCCTAATGTTTAGATTAACTCACTGACACATGAAACGTATTTCACCTATAAACATGCTCAATTAATGGTGCTTTGATACATCATTGGTATCTATAAATGCACAATGCAATAGATGGGGTGGGGGGGAGAGACTCATCCGTTATCCCTGAACTGGATTAGAGTAGATTTCCAGTTGCTGTTACTCACATAAGACTGATAAATCATGAAAGTAATATAGGTGTCTATCCCTCTATATCCAATATAACCCTGTTTCCAATTGTACCAGCAGCAGAGAAAGTAACTATCTGCTTTCCTGTCATAAATTATATGAGTTCAAGAATTGCACTTGATGCTTTTATTTGATAATCTCCTACACAGCACATATTTTTTGAGTAGAGAATGAATCTTCAGGGAATTTATAAATACGCCTGTTAATTATTTTGATTTAAAATTAATTAAAGTGAATCCTTTCAGAAACTTAGCACTTGGTGTTAGATTTGTTCAAAATTTGTCCCTGACCTTCATATCAAAGTAGCGCTGTCTCTTCAAACTTCCAGTATAGTTAAAGCTTACTAAAACCTTAACTGAGAGCTACTTACAGTTTTTTTTGATTTTTTTAAAGAATGAATGGCATTTTTTGCTCATATTCATAACTGAAAGTTCACCCTTCAGCAAAAGCTGAACAATAATCTTCAAAGATTCCCATAAAGAGCTGCCATAACTTGAAATGATCTCTGCGTCCTTTTGTTCTGGATAAGACTGAGGCCACAGTCTGCCCTTAGCAAAGATGGCCATTGTTTCCTATTGCTTATTTCTCACATTGGCACTGTTCACCTTTCAAAAGCATAGGTGACTGCCACTTACAATTTGGAAAAATGGGAGGTAATAGCTTTTTTGAAAAAGAGTACTTCTAAATAGATTTCTTTGAAGGAGCAGATTTCCTACTATCCCCCATACTGAGAGCAAAACTTAGCTATACAAAAAATATGAGCAAAAATTACAGCTGAACCTTAATATCATTCTTAAAAGCAAATGATTAATTCAGAGCTTTCCAAACTTTTCATGTTGGTGACACACTTTTTAGACATGCATCATTTCGCGACACAGTAATTCAGTTCCGGGGGAGGGGCCAAGGGAAGCAGACGCGAGTAAGGGAGCTCCGTGGTGCCCTTCCATAAAATTTTCTGCATTTCGCGCGACACACTAATGTGTCGCGGCACACAGTTTGGAAAGCTCTGGATTAATTAGACTGAGTATCCTGAACAGGAAAAGCAGAAAAGGGAGGGAATTTTAACATATACACCAGCTGCTTTGCATGCCTATGACAGTGGCAAGTTCCTGTAGATGCAGCTTAGTTGGTGGGTGTGTTCCAAAACAGGATACAATCGCCAGAGCTTTTGTGATTATTCTGGCCTTCTAAATTACTTTTTTTTTTTTTAAAAAAAAAAGGGAGAGGGAGAGGTTAATGCAACATATTTTCATGACAGAATGACTTTGGACTTCTTTAGTGTACATGAATGAAATTTCAACATCTTTTAAGAAGATGTTGAAACTACAAAAGCTACATAGAGATACAATTAAGATTGAGAGAACATATTCGTGATTTAGAATTGAACACAGGGTGTTTCTAATTATTTCCAAAACACAATATGCACCTAGAAAATCCAGAGTTAAGGTTTAATGTAAAAGAAAGTTGAAACTTTTGTGATATGGAAATGCACTTAGCAACACAAACAAAGGAAAATGAGAAAGGTAGAGAAATCACATTTGTCTGTACCTGAAGTCCACAGCGACATAGTTTTGTTGCCTGGGAATTATGAATGATATTATTTGGGTTACTTCATGTTCCAAAGAGGCAGTTTCCAAAATAAGGGGTTCATTCTGCCAGGCAATGTGCTGATGTACAATGTACTGCCAGTACTGGTCCTGAGGAGCTTTTTATCTAAAAGGAAACAGAGGCAAAGGATGGTAGGGGAAGCAGAGGTACGGAGATGCAAAATGGTATGTTGAAAGTCATACTGCAGATTAGTGTCAAAAAAGGAACAAGAACATAAGTCTCATAAGTTCCTCCCTAGTGCCCTGGACAGTGGAACTTGCTTCCTCTTCAGTGTATGAATGGTTTTATGCTTTAATACAATTCCATACACTTTCCTATAATAGACTTAAAATTGAATAAGAAAATATATTAATTTCTATGTTTTACTGACATATATGGTTTTAAATGCTCTTACTGTGGTAATAAGGTTTTGTCTTCATTGCATGAGGTGCTTGGCTACTAAGACATTTTATTAATGAAACAAAATTACTAGCAAATAAATGTTATCTGATACTATTAATTTATTTAATAGCTATGCTGTATTTTGTCATCTGGGTGAGAGGAAACAGGATGTACTGGGGAGGATTTGAAGTCAGGGGGAGAAGGATAACTTCCTGCTACCTTTTAATATTGCATATTAATATTAATATGCACCTCTTAACATGCATATTGGTGTGATGCAATAAGCTCTGGTGCTTATAGCACTGAAGACAATTGCTCTTGGATGGATGATCTGCACGTGTGCCTGGGACTGTAGCAAGCTGAGCCAGATTGGAGCAGCCCCAACGGGCAGGAGGTCCTGGGGGTCAGCCTGCCAGTCCAGGGCTGTTCCCCACAGTTCACCATGCGGATAGGCTGGCTGGGGCATGGGGATACTTCAGTGCAGGGTCTAGCTGGCAGGCAGCCCCCACACTGAATCATCCTCATGCCCCAGCCAGCCAGTAAAAAAATTTACAAATACTTGTAGTATTTACAAGTACTGTCCCGTTGCAGAGTTAATTAGTTTACTCCAACCTAATAGGGGCACATGTGTAGATGTGTGACATTTAATACACAGCTAATTAGTCTACTGCACAGTAAACATCTCATGTTGATGTGCCCTATAAGTATTACTTGAAAAGAGAAAATAGGGACAAATTAATATTAGGAGTTATTCCATTGAAATCAATGTTGTGCTTATTTGACTTAGCATTCCTGCAATACAGTTATGTTAATAAGCAGTTAGAAATGAATAAGTAATTTCTAAATCACTAAAATATATATTGAAGGTGAAACAAGAAAATTTAAAATACACTGGATATTGTGGAAATAGTTGCTATGTCTGTAAGCTGCTTAGCTTGTATGAAAATGTAGATTCGGATTGTTACCTTCCACTTATATATGTGTGTGTATGATGGAGGCCATCCATAGCATCATCTTTTTGTATTCACGCTTCCAGAGTCATAGGAGATCAGCTGAGCTGCACCTGCCACATCATTCTCCTTACTTATCCTCTGGACCTCATGGGTAACAGGTGATGCCAGGTCTGAACTAAGGGAGGCAAAAGAGACAAGATGAACGAGTAATAAAGTGCTTCCCCTAAGCTAGCTTTATGCAGCTTCCCTTTATTAAGCTTTATCATCTTTTCCATTAAGCCCAAATCAATTGAATAAAACCCACAAACCTATTGTTAGGGGACTGGGATCAGAAGTCACAGGACACAATACTGTCCATAAGAAATGTCTGGAACCCCTTCAGATTTGCTGAGCTAGGGTTTTGACCTAGCCTAGCATTTTTGGGAAGGGAGAATGATAAGCAGTGATCTACATAAGGGGATTTTCAAAGAAATCACTATTCCCCAAGCTGCCTCCCACAGGTTTTATTTTAAGAAGGGAAGATAAAGGCTTTATATAAGTAGACTGATTCTTATCTCTATTAATTCTAGTAGAGTTTTATGCTAACTCCAGTTCCTTCAAATGAGTTATTTCAGATTTATCCCAAAGTAATTGAGATCAGAATCTGAGCCAACATCCTAGATTTTTCAGCAACCTATTTTAAAGAAGAAACAATGCCCCACTGGAACTATATTTCTTAGGAACTGTTATTTTACGAAGAGTACAACACAAAAGTATAGCAAGGCAGAGGCAGAGGTAAGATTTTGGAGTTTATAGAATAGGGGGAAATGTTTATAGAACAGGGGGAAATGTATCTTTTATTTTTAATACTTCATAATTTATTGTGAATAAGTACACAAATGACCCTTGCTTAATAGCCAAATAAACTGTGAGGTACTGTTTATATGGCTATGAAGGACTGCATGAGTCTGTGTAGCTAGGTACCTGGGGCATCTTTACATGTGCTCCAGGGTGGGACAGTAGCATCCTTTAATTAGAGCAGCACTCTTGACAGCCATTCTAATTAAAGTGTTCAAATGTATTCTGAATCCCATGCTTCAAAATGGTGCTGGGGTGCTTTAATTAAAGCTCATTTGACAAGCTTTAGTTAGTTGCCCTGCTGCCATTCTGAAGCCCAGGGACATTGAATACATGCAACACAGAGGCTGCAGAGCATGTATTGGAGCAGACACCCAGCACATATGTAGGTACCCATGGACCCTACTTAAGTCCCAGCAGGGAGCAAAGGAATGTGGTGCCCATGTGGGACTTGATCCAGTTCATGTGGTCTCAGCACTTGTTGACAACATTTAATTCAGCCTTAACAGACACTTCCAATAAAAAGCTATGAGTTGGAGTAGTTTTGAGTCATTAAAGTGCTTGCTTAAGGAGCAAGAAGCCTGAGTCCTAGGCCCTCCTCAGTCTGAGATGGTTATGATTCACCTCACCCACCTTCCAGGAGCATGCCCAAACCACAAGGCTATAGTCTGTCTGGCATAAAGATTCTGCCCAACCCTCCTGTTGAAATTGGCCATTGAAGCACAGAATAAAAAATCCATTGGACCTGAAAAAGAGCTATGAAGCAACATGATTCTAACCTACTGGTTAGGGCAGGTGTGGGCAAAATGTGGCCCATGGGCCAGATGCAGCCCGCCAGCCTATTCTATCTGGTCCGCAGGGCCCCTAAAAAATTTAAAAAATTAATATTTATCTGCACCTGGCTGCCTGTCATGCAGCCCTCGATGACTTGCCAAAACTCTGTATGAGGCCCTCCACCCGAAAAAATTGCCTGCCCCTGGGTTAGGGCATTTCCCTGGGAGTCCCAAATTCTGATGCCTACTCCTGTGACAATTTATAATTTTTACCTTAACTAGTCATGTGACTGGTTCTGTTTCATATCCAGGCAGTGGAGAGCAGATCCTAGGCTTTACTCTCCAAGGTCCCTAGCCTAAATACATTGCTTATTTTATTCCTCCAAGTGACATTGGCTGAAGTTCCTACTTTGTCAAAAGCTGAGCACCAGACAGCTGCTTACAAATTATTTTAAACTATCCATGGTGGGAATTCTATGCAACAAAAGCATTATGTAGAATTCCCAAATGACAGAAACTCTCTCACTGTTCCAGTACCTTCAGTCCTAATTTGGCAGACTACTAAGCATGTGCGACTGGTACATCCTGATACTGGGGGGGCATCAGTGGCCAATAGCTGACCGGCTGGGGAGGATCCCCCAGCCAACTGGAAGTGCCAGTGGCAAACCTGGAACTGCCACCAACATTGCTCTGAGCACCCCCACAATCTCCAAGGGGCACCAGCCATCACTTCCCACTCACCGGCCAGTGAGGACCAAATTCAGGAGGGGCACATGCCTCTCCATGCCCGCCCTATGCATCACCTATGCTGCTATGTTTCTTAACTTTCCATATCAAACCTGGCTGTCTATACTTATGACAAGGATTGTAGCCAAAATGTGGTCAATGGTGGTTTCCTACATAATAGTACATATTCCTTTTCCTTTTTTTGCAGTGTAATCTTCCCTTCCTCTGAAGTAGCAAGTCACTGCTGGATATGTATGACTCTTGCTAATAGATGAGTGAATACAGAGCATCTGGACAACAGGAGAGAGAGGGCATATGCTCTGTGAATTTAGACCATCAAATAGCATATTGTATTGTAGTCAGTGCCTAGAAACTCACTGAGAGTGTATGAGCTGTTTTGATAAACTGTGTGTGTTGTTTTTCCTTAATCTGAAATAAAGGTTGGAAAATAAAAGTTTTACTCTTTGTGTACAGGAAAACAGAAGTAAAACTGACATTGAGAATGAAAATATAAAAGAAAGTCCTCATAGAAAATGAAAAAGCAGTGAAGAGGCTTCCTGGTTAGAAAGAGAAAAAATGCAAATGGTAAAATAGCCATTTATGGAAATATGGAAGATTTCCAGCTCAATAAAATAGTGAGAGAATTAGAGTCTATGTTCAGAAGCTTGAGCATTGTATTTTTATGCAAATGCTAGTGAAGACGGTGCCAGATATTTACACTGCTTAAAGAATTATTCTTACTAGGGGAAATGTATGAGAAAAGTGATTCTCAGAATCTTTGGGATTAGAAACCAAAACTAGATTTTGTTAACAAATTATATTTTTCAGATAATGAACTCAAGTGATCCAGAAAATAGTTTTAATTTCATGCTATTCTCAAAATAAAACTCTTGTGGTTTGAGAAATTGAAATCAGGAATCTTGGACTGAAAGGAAACATAGGTATTTCCATACTGATAAATTAAGCCTATAAGAAAATGTGGATGCGGATTTATTCTGCAAGTCTACAAAAATTAAATATTCTTCCAATATTCTGAGGGGACTTCTGCCAAGCTGCAATATGAGAGATGAATAGGCTCTTTTGAAAACTAACAGCATAGTACACAATGTCCTAGAGGATATCCACCTTGTGCTGGAGTTATCATATTGACTGGATGGACCAATGTTTGTTTGCTGAGCTCTGGAACATAGACAGAAGTGAGAGGGGACATCCTGCCTACTCCTCCACTGTGGCAGTACAATACAAAACAAAACAACCCTCCTCCCTCCCCCTCCCCCCCTCCCCGCACAATTGGCCAGCAGACTAACTACGGGACTGTAGAGAGAACTGTCTCAAAAACCTAGGCCTTCCAAAGGCAAAGGGACCTACAATTACACAGCTTGTAAATATGGGCTGAATGCAGTGCTGATTATGACATGCTGAGGCCCTAAACTATGTCCATTTTAAGAGTCCCCATAGGATAAAAATAATCCACAAAATCCATGAAAATGGATTTTCACAAAATTTTAAGATGAATTATTGTTACTTCTGCACAAACTTATGAACTCAATATGAATAATAACTGTGGAGCCATATATATTTATATTTCTGTCATATTAGAACAACATTTTCATTTTTTTTTCTTATCTAGAGGCCCCTCTTATTGTAAGGCCCCAGTGTGTGTGCGTGTGCGTACATGTGTGCATATATCTCCACATTTTCCTGATTACAATGAAACACCTCTATATCTATATCTAGATATAGGGGCAGGAGCAAGTCAGGAGTGACTCTGGGGCTCTGTATGATCCCATATCAGCTAGGAAAGGCAGTAGAAGGGAGTAGATACCTGGGGACAAATTGCCTCCCTGCCACCTGCCCCACCATCACTGCTTTCTTCCCCCCACTGCTGCTGCCCTCTGACTGTCTATTGGCCTCAGTTTTTCCTGCTGTCTGGTTTCCTGCCTCTTCTTTCTTCACTGCCTGCAGTGCATCTACTGTTTTCCTGCTGCAGCCATGTTTCTGGGGTGGGGGGTGGGAGGGTACAAATGTAAGAAAACCTTCCAATAATTAGATCATAGACATGGAAAATATAAATTTATAATTCTCCATGTCTTGAAACTTAGTATTGGAGGATTGTCTTAAATTTGAATTCCTTCTGGATTTGGGTAAATACATTATACATGGAAGTCAAATATCAAAATATAAAGTACATCCATTTATCTACTTTTTATGGAACATATAAGTACATTTAGAGCAGTGGTGTTCAACCTCTGGCCTATAGACCAAATCCAGCCTATGAGGCCATGTCATCCAACCTGTAGGTTTCCCCATGGGTCTGGACATTTGGTGGCAGAGGAGCAGTGGTAGCATGTATTGCTGCTCCTTTGCTATCACATTTCTGGACTCATGGGGAAACCCACAGGCTACACAACATGGCTCTACATGCTTGATTGTATCAATGCATGGTGGGGCTGAAACACAGGGTCAGGCCATTGCATCACCAGATATGACGTGGGGACGGGCCATTTATGAAATCGGGCTGTTTTGTGCAGCCAGGCTTACTCATTGAATTATGCTTGCAAACTGACCCCATGTGCAACCCATGCTGGGTCAAGCCTGTGGACTGGCCCTGCACTTCTCCTCTGGTCTCTGGGGCAGGAAGTTTGAGCACCATTGATTTTGAGGTGTCATAGATTGCATTAATTATACCATTTTAAATTAGGATTTTTTTTCTTTTTGCCATTTAGTGATACAATTTGCCTGATACACTAGAAAGGAACTTTAAGATTGAATCAAGATTCAACTCAGCATATTCTGAATAAAAAAGTAGTAATATCTTCATATGAATGGGGTTTTACAGAAACTACTTCTAATAATACCACAGCTGATGGCTCTTAAAGGGAAAACACACAACTTCATTGTTCATTAATTTTCTGTTCTCTGATAACAGTTATTTCCATGCTCAGAATCCTATCCTTTCTTTGATTCTGGTTTAGAAAAAAAGGTCAAATATTTGAGGGCTAAGCTTAGATCTATAGTCATGTCACTTTCAGAGTAGCATGCATCCCACTGGGTCACCTTCAATTTGTACTCAGGAGGCGCAGACAGAAGTCATGTTTGTCACATGATCATCCCCTTGAAAGCATTCTACAGCTGTGCCCTTACAGAAGTGCAAAGCATTTTAAAAGGGCCTGATTGCATGACAATCTGAACCCTCATTAGATGAGGATTCTAATTAAAGTGCTCCAAAGCAGAGTGCTTTCATTAACTTGTGTCCATGCACATCGGGAGTAGGGCTGGGCGGATGCAGTCTAGCCCTGCTCCTGGTGCTGTCTTCAGAATGGGAGGTGAAGAAGGGAGCAAAGGGAGTTTTTTCTGGTTTTTTGTTTTTTGTTTTTTAGCTGGTGCTAGAGGGTGGGGCAGGTGGATAGGAGCCCTGAGGTGGAGGAGCTCCAATCCACCCACTCCACCCTCCAGTGCTGGCTGAAAAAAACTCCAGATGGAACTGCCTCTGCTCCCTCCCCCAGCTCCCATTCTGAAGATAGTACTGGGGCTGGGAGGCAGGAGGGGTACAGCTAAGGGAGAGTGGCTATAGACTCATATCAGCTCCAAGTTGCAGCTGGATTTTTGAAGCCCTGGGACTCAACAGCAAATGTCTGTTGAGTCTGGGGTATTGCTGTAACTTATGGCCAGGGGTCCTAGTTTTCCATGATTGAAAAAAAAAAATCCCTGATATTCTGATTAAAAACAAGTACAACTTCATTTTTCATGATTAAAATGAAATCAGACACACACATATACATATAGTGGTGTTTCATTTTAATCATGGAACATGTGGATTTTGGGTTACTTTTCTTAATTCAAAAACAGGGGTTTTTTTGATCAGAGAAAACCAGGATCCCTGCTCACATCGCTTCCTGTGAAGCACCAAGAGCTACAGCAGGGAACTGAGCTTCTGTCTGCAGTTAAGAGGAGTGCTTAAGAAGAGTCTGGAGAATGCCTGGCCTATAGCCTTGTAGTTATAGCACTTTGCAGAAGGTTCAGGTTCAAGTCCCCTCTGAGTGAGGGGAGGCCCAGAATCTGAGTCTCCAGCTCCCTGGATAAGTGCTTCTACCACTCGTCTATTGGGCTAAAAGCTGAGAGCGCACCTCTTCCGTGCACCCATTAGTCATGTTATTTGTCCCTATTAACATTCTATAACTTACCTGCCCTTGTGCACATACATGGGCAATTCTCTTTCCTCTCCTTCCGGAGCCTGAAGGTGTGCTTAAAAGGAGGGAGAAGTTCTTTCAACAGCCAGTCCAGTTGCAGAAAACTCGGGTAATCTCATTAGCCAGAAGTCAGAGGAAGGTGTTATAGCTGAAGTGCTTGGCCCAGCTGGGCCTGCTTGATTAGAGGCCCTGACACATTGTTACCAAAGTTGGTTGGTAAATCTAGAAAGGTTACCAAGAACAGCTGGTCCTTATCCTGGGACTTTGAGTAAATCAGATCATAATTAGAGCTGAAGTACTGAGTTGTTTGCTTGTTCCCAATCTACTGATGCCTAAGAAAGGCTATGTTTGTGATGTTTTTTACACAAAGGAGCTGGAAAAGTAAACCCTCCCTTTAACATACCTTACATTTTCTTTGTGTGGAAGTTAATTCTGGATAGATTCCCTGCATATATTTGTAGACTGAGTGAAAGCACTGTAGGGGTGCATCCAGATGAGCATGAATGTGTGGTAGTGATGCTGCAGACCCATCTGTGGTGCCACACATTGCACAAGTAGGCATTCTCCATGCTGCTATTTTGCAGTAAGTATTCCCCACATGACTACTTTGTCTATCCCAGGGTCAAAAAACCAATGTAAAAAAAAAGTGGGGCAGCATACGTGGCAGGGCAGTGTGCACCGCTCAAAAAAAAAGTGGGGCAGTGCATGCCACCCAAAATTGGAGCCTGGCTGGCTGGAGTCACACTCCAGCCGCCAGCCAGGCTTCCTGCTGCAGGAGCACCACAACTACAGCTCCCAGAGGCTCTCAAGTAAGGCTGCTTGGCCCCAGCCTCCCATACCCAACCAGGGTAACCTGTTGAAAGCCAGAGTGTGCGTGACATGGACAATTCCCTAAGGCATTCCCCAGGAACAAGTAGCAATGGCACAAGTTGTGCCACTCACTGCTACTTGTCCCTAGG